AATGCAAAAGGAGCCGGGATTATTTACAAAAAAAAAAAGCAAATTTCCAGACAGCTATTTACATCACCGCCATTTAGGAAAGAACCATTTTCTTTTAATCTCCATGTACGCTTCACCACCTGAGATTAAAAGGTTTGGCTTTTATTTCGTTTACACCTTTTTATCTTTCCAATACTGAAAGATGTAAAATAATCATCGAGAATAAGCAAAAATATTTTAAAAATAAAACATTTGTCGGAGACCAAGCATTGACAGGTCAAAATGTCGGCATAGTCGTGTCCTTCATCTCTCAGCACAGCGACGGAGGCCAGCGCCCGGCTCTGGTCTCTCTCTCTCTCTCATGATTTATTTCACACAAAGGGAATAGGGGACAGTGCACCAAAACGGGGCAAAAAGCTTTAAAAGTGCTGCCCTGCGGGCTGGGAGTGGCGGCTCCGGCCGCGGTCAGACTGTTCCCTCTATTTCTGTGCCTTCTGCAGGAGAAATTTAGGATACTCAACTTTGGTCTTGGGCAAGCAGAGAGGAAACGTGTGCAGCTCGTTCCATTAAAATTCATTTTTGTGTTAATGACGAAGCCGAACTGTATTTCCTTCCAACTTTTACTGTTTCATACCGGTAAAACACAATTGCTTCATGGCAAGTCCAGCAATCCGTCCCGTCAAACCCCCAGCCCTGATTCAAACACGTTTCTTTCTGAAGGCTGGTTATGCCTCACACAACCCCCAACGGATCAAAGGGCTTTTGTGAAACAAAACCACTTTAAAAAAAATGAAAATTAAAAAAAAAAAACTATTAAGGGGGGCAGAAGGAAACCAGATGACAACCTGCTGGAGCCTGAACAGGCGTCATCGCCGGGATGCAGCCGCTGTCGCAGGGTCTCCAGATAAATTCATCCAGTGGTGTGTTTCTTACATCCTCTTCGCAGATTCCCCACAGTCAAACGATTCCAATGCTGCGTAAGATAACGTCATTTGCTCCAGGTTCAGACTTTATTTACGATTTTCCTGTTATCCCAGCACATGAAGATGGTGAAGGGGAAGCTGCGGTACGCAGAGCAAAGGGCGAAGGGTGGAAAATACAAGGGAGAGCACCCCAGAGCCTGGAGCAGGGGGGGGCTTTGGAGAAAGTCACATCTCCCACGTTCTGCAGGAGCCCTGGAATTAAACCAAAGGCAGGAGGAAAAGGCGAAAAATCCCTGTAATTAACTGAACAGTTGCCACCCTACTGAAAAGACATCGGCCTCACCGCGGCTTTGAATGAGCTGGAAAAGAACCGGCTTGCCTGGGGTTGGACCGAAAATCTCTCCGATTTCAAAGAAACTTAAATCCTTGACGTCTTTTAAGACTGCATCCCCAAACATGGAGTTATTATCTTGTTCCCATGGGGGAAATCCTGGCCTTTGGTAATCAACAGCAAAATCCAAGGGGAGCAGGATTCTGCTCGGTCTGTAATTCCAAAGGAGATGTGTTCACAGAACTCTAGGTTTCCCACATTCCTCTGTGAATCAGATTTAACTGCTTTTAAAAATAAAACGCTCTCCTGAGTCTCTTTTCCTTTCAGGGGCCACAAGATAAGACCACAGAGGATGCCTGAGTCATGCTCTAAAATTCCAGCCAGAAGGGGAAAATCCATCTTTTAAGGAAATTGCTGCTTCTGCTGCAACTCTTATCCCAGATGAACCAGTTAGGGGCTGCTTTTCCAGCAGTGTCAGTGCTGACACCAGGGCAGGGCTGACTCACTCTGCCAGGGAGAGAAGGCAATGCCTGCGCGCATCGCCACGATTACTATCCAAGAAGCACGCTGCAAGTTAAAAGAAAAAAAAGCAAAAACCCAAAGGAAACCTTGAAGGGCTCAGCAACAGAAACAGACCAAGAAAACGAGGCCTGTTTTTAAACCATGAATGTACATGAGCTGTTTGCGTGACACTAACGGGAGCATTCGTGGTGGGCAAGTTAAGCCTGGCTCTAAAGCGTTCGCAGGACTGGGACGCGTGTGGGTTAGAGCCTGTGGCTTTACAAAGGCAGCACCAGGGGGTTCTGGGGAAGCTCTGTTTGCCAGGCTTCCGAGGAAGCAATGCTCAGATGAAGACACCGGAGTCCCTTTCCAATTCAGATTTGCTCCAACACACGCCAGAATTTCACCAATTTCATCAAAGCTACAGTGGCTGCCCGTGTGCAGAGCTGCCCAAATCCACGGGCTCTCCCCAAGTTCCCAAGCCCCTCTGGGCTCTGCATCACGCAATTAAAAGAGATTGAGTGAAAACAAGCAGCACAGGGCATTCGGATGTGGACATAAACAAATAGCCAAAATGAAAGGGAAGTCAAACGTAAACCCACAATCCTTCACCACGGCGACCTGGCACCAGCTGCTGACACCCACCAGAACAACGGTGCCCGGGTCTGCAGAGCAGCTCAGCTCAGAGGAAGCTGAAGTTCCCCAGGACCACGCTGCATCAGGCATTCAATGAAGGAATGCCCCAAAAATAAAATGAAAAAAAGATATTTTTGTTTGCTTTCAACCACCCTTTTAAAAAGAATAAAACCCAATCCTAAAACATGCCCTAAAATAATTAGTTTAAAACTTCCTAAATACAAAAGCAACTTATTCGGAATGGGAGGAAGGGCAGAGGAGCTCGGACTCTCCCAGAATAAACCCGTGTTGTTTGCACCGGTCTGGGGGCTGCTCCCGCGCTTACACACACACTCAGCTTCACACCCATTAACTAATGGGGCTGTTAATACTTATAAATTAAGAAGGAGGGTAAGTGTTGGCAGGAGAAAGGCCACAGTCAGGAACCTGGCGTGCCGAACGAGCTGCTGGCACTCACACTTTCTGCTCAGGCTTTGGAGATCCTTGGAAATACTGGTTTTTCCTCTTCAAACGCACCCCATAAAAATCAGCGTGGCAAGTTTGCAACGAACTGTTCCTTTCTTCCGATTTCTAGAACCCGCAGGTCCCGCGTACAGCTCATCTTTTCAAGACGCTGAGAAAACTAATTGCCAATTAGAGCAACATCCATGAGATCATCATCTTCCTCCCCGATCAGAAACTCCGGGCTGGCCCGGGACGGGCGCTCGGCCGACAGGATGGTGCTGCTGGCCATGGACAGGGACTGGTCGGCTGAAATTGGGGACTTGGACCAGCTCTCTGGCTTCATGCTGTGAGATTTCTTCTTGTCTCGGTCTTTATCCCGATCCCGATCTCTGTCCCGGTCTTTGTCTTTCACTTTTTTCTTCTCTTTTTTGTGCTTCTTGTGTTTTTCCGAGCTATACTCGGGCAAGGGCCTAATGCCATCGTCAGAGCTGGGGCTGTTCTGGTAGGATTTCTCTGCTATGGAAGAGCCCGACTCGCTCTCGCTGTCGATGTTTTGGGGAGTGTATGCTGGTGACTTACTGTGGCTGGGAGAGCAGCGTTCGTGTTTTGGAGTGGACCCACTGATTAGAGGGGACCCATAGCTTTTGGAAGAAGCCATCTGAGGCCTCAGGCTATCCCCACCGCCTTCCCCAGGTTTCTGCAAAGTTACTTTGGCTTTAATGCTAGGGGAACCACCATCATGTTTGCTGATGATAATTTTGGCCACTCCAGTGCTTCCAACATTTTTGGAATCTGAAGTCTTCTTGGAAGAGTCAACGGATCCTCCAGAAACAGAGACTTTAGATTTCTCTTTGTCACTCTTCTCACGTTTGCCCTGGAACTCGCCTCCGGACATATTGTGCTTGGAGGACATCGTATGGCTTGAGGAATTGGAACTTGGCCCTATCTGTCCATCCATTGGGTCGTCTCCACCAGGCCCACTAGTGACAACCCCGTGTTTAAGTTTGTCTATGACTGCAGTCAGAGATGGCTTCTTGTTTCTGCTCGGAGACTTGCCTTTGGAGCTTCCATGCTGGTTTTGAGATGAAGACATGGAAGACCCGCTCGATGAAAAGGAAGAGGAAGATGCTGTTGAAGAATTTGATGACGGAGGCGGTTTCTGTGACATAGACCCGGAGGACCCCATTCCCGAAGACGATTTCATACTTGAGCTTGATCCTGTCCCAGACATATGGGAGCCTCCGGAACCTGAACTGATCGGTGACTTTGCTTTAGATGACGGCGGAGTGCCTGGGACAGGTTTCATGGGAGAAGCAAGCTTGTCAGAACCTCCCGAGGGTCTCGAATGAGACGGAGAGATGTTTGGTTTACTCATGGAAGGGTTCATAAGCGACGATGGCTTTCCTTGAGGTTTCATCTTGGTACTTCCAGAACCGGTGCTGAGGCCGTGTTTGGTGATGGGGGAGGATCCGGGTTTTCCCACGGACTGAGCCGAACTCTTGGACTGACCCGAACTTGAGCTGCCTTGGCTTGAGTAGAGGCTGCTGCTCATCTTTGAGCCAGAAGACCCTTCTGACTTGCTGCTTTTAATTTTGCCTGAGGTTGAAGAGGAGGAAGAAGAGGAGGAAGAGGAAGAATGGCTATGATGGCTTTTGCTGCTGGAGGAGGTGACAGAGCCACTACTCGTGTACTGGCCATGCGAAGACGGTTTGCCAACAGTCACTGTTCCTTTTGGGATCTGAATGGTTATTTTTGGAATAGGAGGAGTAGCTACACCGGGAGGAGTCTGAGATCTGCCTGAACTCCCGGGAGATTTGGACCCGCCTGTGCTTGCTGGTGGCGTGAAGGGCCTGTTTGATGAACTGTGCGACGGCGACTTCCCGTCCGTCTCCTGCTTCTTCCGCTTTGGAAGTTTCTCTTTACTTTTACCATCGCTGGACGGCGTCCGGCTGCGCTTCCCCGGCTTCCCATCTATCCCGGGACCTGCCATGTTGCTTCCAGAACCGTTGCCTTCCTTTAACCGTTTCTGAGACTTTTCTTTTCCTAAATCCCCTGTATTCAGCAAAGGGCTC